AAGACACAAGGTAAATTAAGAAACTTTAAAAAGAAATCATTTAGGCACAATCAACAACGAGAATCGACAACAAACAGAGTCGGCAGGCCAACAAAAGATTATATTAGATAAACAACTGAATTACATCTGCAGTCGTCTTAACCCTTACAACCCTGAAAATGGGTTAAGAACGACAAAGAGCAAAAAAAAAAGGGGGGGACAAGTAAAGCTATCAAATAAGATATCTAGTTCTTTTGGGAATCTGCAGTTGATTTTTCAGCCAAATCGGCGTTCTCGCCTCGGTCGACCACAGGCTCGGTCCCTACGCCCTCTTCATGACCCAACGGCTCAGTCCCCTCGCCCGCCCCCTCGATCGCCGGCTCGACTTATGGCCCCTCGACTACCATTTCCTCGTCCAGCTCTTCTTCTTCTTCATCATCTGCTCCGCTCGGCTCGATTAAATCAACTGGCCCGACCAGGGGGGTAGGAGGAACCTCAAGCTGAGCACCAAGGCTAGCCTTTCGAATCACCCAAGCCTCAAGACCCGACCACTAGGGATGGTCGTCGGGAAGTGATGCATCGCCGCGATAGCCAAGCGGGAGAGGGAGCGACTCCTTGAGCGCTTGACGGTCGACTTTTCCCTCGAGGGCGGTGCCTTTAACAGCCGACTCCCACGCATAAAATGTAAAGTTAAAGTATTGAAGGGTGGCCGGACACAGCTTCTCGAGGAAAGCGGGAGAGTTGCAGAACGCCCTGACGACCTCCTTACGATAAGCTTCGAAGAAGATGGAGCCCATCGGTGACTTGAGGAAAGATTTGCGTCCTTCCTCCTTCCCGATCTCCCTCTCGGCCATGTTGTCCTCGGTGGCCTTAGCAAGGTCGGCTCGCAGCTGATCGACCTTGGAAAGGGCGGCGGCCTTCACAGATTTGAGCTTCACAATGAGGGCATGGGCCGCCGCGAGGTCGTCATTCTTCTCCTCGAGTTCATGGAGCTGCTCCGCGCACTTCTTCTTATAAGCATGAACATTGGAGTTAGGCGAGCTGGACTCCTCGAGAAGGGTAGGCATTATATATGCCATAAGCTAGAAGGAAGGTGTAGAAAAGTCAGTAAGATAAAAACGAGGATAAGGAAAATACACCAAGGGATAAAAGCCGAAGAACACTCACTCGAGAGAAGCATAGGAGAGCACGGCCGGCACGGTCATAAGGGTCGCGGTCAGCACGAGCCTTGTTAGTCGCAGGGATAACCGAGTCAAAGTATTTGGCAATCTCATGCGGATGGGGATGGTTCCAGAGTTGGCAGGGCCTCTCGAGTGTGACCGTCTCGAGGGCGCCAGGAGAACGGGGAGCTTCGACTGCTTTCCCCTTGTCCTTACTCCTGAGGCGCTTGGACGAGTCGGCCCTCTGCTCAGGGTCGACTTCGTACGGACCCCTTTTCTTGGCCCCAGGACCTGGGTTCTTCTGCGGCAGTGAGGAAGGGATGACCATCTTCGATTTCCTAGCGATGGTCGTCTCGGCCGCCGCCTTCTTCACTCCAGAGCCGGATCCATCGTCGGGTCTCGCTGAGGGAGCGACTGGCTTGGCGGACTTGGCACTGCCTTTCGTCTTCTTGGTCTCGAAGCGCTGCAAAGCTTTAACTGAACAACAAGGGAACTAGTAAGTAGGAAACACCACCGATGGTTATAAACGCGAGCAGCTTATGAATAAAAGAAGATAAGCATAGAAACAGACAAACACACGGGCTTACGAGGGTCATCGACGCGAGGGGCATCCTCGTCTTTCCACCAACCCACATGATTGAGAAGACCGTGATCTTTAACCAACAAGCGGGCACTCAACGTGAACTTATTTAAGTCGTCCAACATATTCTGAAACTGGCTCGACTTAGGACGAGGGCTGCTTTGACTGACCTTAGAGGTAAGCCAGATATTGAAGAAAGGGTACTGACCGGGAGCAGGACGGATGTAAAAGAACTTAGTCTTCCACTCGGTTACATTCGAAGAAAGATCCTCGAGGAAGAAAACACCGGGACGACGACCCAGACAATGGGCGTCCTTTATGAAACGATAACTATAACAATACAAAAGAAACTCGGGCAAGAAGTGGCCAAACTTTATCTTACAGATTATGATGAAAGCCACCATAATGCGAATAGCGTTAGGAGATAATTGATTTATGGGTACACTGTACATGTTGCTAATCGACAAAAGCTCGGGTTGAACAGGGAACCGCAAGCCAAACATTATTTGGTCGACGAAGAAAGTGAAGCAACCCTTAGGAGGGTGAGTGAAAACATCATTGGGGCCAGGGGGAAGCAGCTCCCAGTCAGAAGGTAGACCGCTGAACGCCCTAAATCCCTCGATTTGGGCTGCAGAGGCATAAGAAAATGGATTTAAAAAAGCTAACTTGGCTAAAGGACAAGCTATGGTTACATCTCGAGACTTAAGAAAGGAAGGCGTTATGGACAAAGAAATAGGGCTCGTCCTATATACAGGAATATCTAAGAGCCTAAGGGGAATACCTTGAGGAAGAAGGTTTAGTCGAGGAGAGTCGCTACCTCGATTAGGATCGTCTTTATTTTGCATCAACTCACCCGACAAAAGTGCTTGGGTATATACGTTGTGGTCTATTCCAAAAATCGAGGTGGATGAACCTTGTGACCTCTCTTGCTCGACTGCAGGTTTAGAGCCAATTATTTCGACAGAATCGGAGCTTGAATATTCTTCTATTTGACGGATGAGAGAGCCAGGAATAGAGCCAGAAACAGAGTCGGATCCGGAATCTATGAGAAAGAGTCGAGAAACAAAGATCAATATAAAAGT